AAAAGGACACGCAGAGGAAATATAAACACAAATAAAAGAAAAAGCAAAATATGCATACATACATATATATATATCTACATATTTATATATATGCATGTTTTCGCACTTTCGCGCCCTCTGTTCAAGAAATACACATATTTGTACGAGGACGTACGCGAGCAATTCTTTTATGTCTGACATCTTTCTGCTGTTTTTTTTTAAAAAACTTTATTATTTTTTTTTTTTTACCTCTTTAGTGTTACCTCGCGCAGTCTCTGTGGGTGTATACCGTTCCACGTACTCCCTTCCACGTGATGGCACCACCACCGCGGCAAAGGCGCAGAAACGGGCAGACAAAGAGGCAAAGACATCATTCTCTGTGCTCCCGGAAGCCGCGGCAGCGGCATCGGGCCCTACGGCTTCTCTGTAAGGAAAAGGTGAACCAGGCAAACAGCAAGCGCCCACGTGCCACCCACACTCACTACCAAAAAAAAAAAAACAGGCTGGACAGACGCAAGAGAGATAATAAATTACTCTTCTGGGCCCCAAACACACAAAAAGGAAACATTGAAGTAAACCAAAGAGGTCCAATGTGGAAAGGACAACAACGCGCATACACGAAAAAAAAAAAATCCTGCACCGTAGGAAAGGGATCGATGAGGGCAGGGTGCAATTTTGTGGCTTCACTGGGAATGGACCATGAGCCCCGCTGCAGGCAATAGAAAAGACACAGTGAGCGAGGCAGCGTAAAATCGATGCACATAGGCACAGCGCGGTACAAGAATCAAATTCAATATCTACAGTCAGACGTGAAGTGAAAGCCATTCAAAGTGGTAAGGAGCAATTAGGGGACACACAGTTTAATCCCAAAGAACGGAAGTGGTTAATTGGAGATGGTGGGGGCTAAACGCACAAAGAATTAAAAAAAGGACAGCAAGCAAAAAGCAAAAACAAAAAAAAAGTAGAAAAGGATCCACTGAAAGTCCAATTCCTTCAGAACAAAAACAAAAAAAACATCAACGACTCGCCAGTGCCTGTGCGTTTATGTCTTTTCGTGTGTTAAGAGCATCATTGACGCAAGCAAACAAGTAAAACGTTATTACCGAATTAGTCCTTTTGGCCCCAGTGACGGCTATCCCAGTGGTAGGAAGGAGAGCAACATGCTTGGGTAAACACTGATACTCAACCTCGCATAAAGAGCGTCAATGGCCATAAGTATACGAACACCGATGGGGCGTTCGTATACCCGCTTTACTGTTTTGTATCACCCTCAGGCAGTAAATTGAAGGCTGATAAGGTAGCTGGAGGGGGATCAACTGTACTGATGTTGGGACCTCCTTTTCCCGTCCAACACTGGTGTACGACCTCACCCCCACCCCCACACAACCTTGTGTGTGGGTGTATTTTATTCATCCCCATTCTCATTGGCTTTCCCCCACTCCCCTCCCTTCGTGGGCCAGAATTCCACGAAGCAAGGTTCAAACTTATGGTTAACATCATTTACACCACCCCAGCCCAAATTTTTACAAGGGAACGTATGCACGGAGAAATGGAGAAGCATATGTACATGCACTACTCCTACGCAATATCAGACACAGGTTCTGCACGATCGTCACCTGTACATAAGAAGTGTAGTTTGACGCATCCCTCACTGTTTTCATTGCTGTGTTTTGGCCGTTAACTCACCTCACCCAAGCATAAATATGACGTTTACAACCTTATTCGTATTTAGTTTTCGTTTAACCACCTGCAGTGCCGTCTGTTGGTATCTTGTCGCGTATCATTCTCGTTTAATTTATCCCTCGTTCATTGCTACCTCTCCGTTATGCATACACCGCATTGTCCGTGTTCAGTCTTGCATCACGCATTACTATATTGTTTATACGCATTCTCATGTGTGCCCAGACGTTTTGTTTTCATGTCCGCGTTTGTTTTTCTCCATCTCATCGTCCTCCTTATCCTTTCATTCTTATTTTTTTCTTTATTATTAGGACATCATTCAACGACGCTTTCCGTGTGCATTTTCCCTATATGATTCTATTGCGCCACATTTGCCGTGTGAGACGATACTATGCGTGCGATGGTATAACCCTTTGCCGCTATTTTGCGACTACTTTCCTCCCTTCTCTTGACGTCGTTGCTGTTCGCGTTCTGCCTCCTGCGGTCGCTTTTTTCTAAATACTCATAACGTTCATGCGCGTGTTCACTTTTCCCACGCGTATGTATGTATGTATGTATGCGTGTGCCCCTCCCTGTAGTATAACCTGTTTCTCGTATTGCCCGTGGATGTTGTGCGTGAGCACAGCCACGGCAGCAGACAGAGAGAGACACCCACACTCACACCGCACAAGTATAAGAAATTTTTTAAAAAAGTCTTTCCGCGTTCCCCATCCAGTTTCCTCTCTTCTGCTCTTAGTTTATATCACTTTTTTTTTTCAGTTGCTGTTAACTTGCCATCCCCCCCCCCCCCTGCAATCAACAAATCCCACACTTCCCTTTTATTTTCTGTCATTCCCTAGAACATTCTCCACGCTGCGTACGTGCTACCTCGTTTGTGGTCATTGCGCAGTTGCCTCTCGCTTTATTTTTTCCTATTCTTATCTCTCTGTTTCCTCTCAAATTTCAAAGGCAAAGCAACTAATAACAGATCATCCCAAAGTTGTCACACAAGGGCCCCATTCTGTGTTGAAATGTGTGATCAACACTCCTCTTCATGCGTCCACACTCATCATCTTAGCGGAGGAAGCAAGGCAATGAAAACAGTCTACACACATGTCTCACAAATGCAAGTGACGGCACATCACTACAAAGGCCCACGAATTCTCCCTTTGAACCTTATTCCAGTGCTTCTCCCATCCCCTTCCCCTGTTCTCGCTTTATTTATCCTGACTAGGTCATGCCTCAGCTTCCTCCCTGCTTGGCAAGGGTGACAGTCCGTTCGCGAAGCACCACACCTTGGTGCATCCATGATACAGACTCCCCACCACCACCACACACACGGGCCCTGCGTCTCTGACACGTTCCCAAGGTGGTTGCTGTGAAGCGCATGCATCTGGGAGAAAGAGAGGGATGGGGGACGGAGAGTAAGTGAATGTGCGTGTCTGTGTGTAAACATAAAAAATAATCATTGTTTGTCCTTGCCTTCTGTCGTTGTTGCCTTCTTTTATTTTCATTTTTCCTGCCTCTCACTTTCATTTCGAGCCATTTTTATTCTTATATTTTTTCCCGTTACATTTTCCCTCCCCGAAGTGAAAATTTCCTTTTTTTAATTTGCGCAGTTCCGTCTCTCTCTCTCTATATATATATATATATCTCATACGTGTCGTGTTCCCCCACATATTTTTATTTATTTTTATTTAGATTTGTATCTTTTTTTTCCTGCAATACATACACCCTTCCCACGCTCGTTTCTGCCTCGACACTCCCTTGTGCACTCCTACTTAATTCACTTATACATTTCTTCTCCTATTAGTGGTTTCGCGTCGCCAGATCGCCGGAATAATGGCCATGACGAAGGAAAAACTTGAAGTGGGCAAACCGAAACATTAGAAGTTGAGGTTTTCAGCAAACATGCTGCGGCCGTCGCCCGCAGGCGCACCAAAGGCCCCACTCCCCGTGCCACTAGCTCCACCGTTCTACTCACGGAAGCCACCGCCACGACCACCTCTACCCATGTTCGCTACATAGCCACCGCCGCCGCCGTAGCCGTAGCCGCCACTGTAGCCGCCCCCGTAACCCCCACCGTAACCTCCCCGATTGTTGCCGCCACGGTACCCGCCACCACCGCCACGGTAACCACCGCCGCCAAAGAAGCCTCCACCACGATAACCGCGGTACCCACCACCACCATTGCCGCCGCGACCATTGTTAATGTTGGGCCGCTTCATAAGCTCCATGACTTGAGGAAGGACAGCTTGGTGGGTTTCATTCAACAAGGGAACAAGGTCATCAACGATGTTGCGGTTCTTCTCGTTGAAAAAGGAGACTGCACGACCAACTTTTCCTGCGCGACCTGTTCGGCCGATGCGGTGGACGTAGTCATCAATGTTACTCGGCATATCATACTGAATGACAATGCCAACGTTGGGAATATCAAGGCCACGTGAGGCCACATCCGTGGCAACGAGTACCTGACAAATGGCGGATTTAAACATGTTAAGCGCCTCCTCACGCTCACGCTGCACTCGGTCACCGTGAATTGACGCACACGTAATCCGATTATTACGTAGAAACCGCTCCAAGTGGTCGGCGTCACGCTTTTTCTCCACAAACACCAGAATAAGTTGGCCTTGATTCTCGTGCAGAAGTCTGAGAAGATGGTCCCGCTTATCAGTGTCTTCAACCCAGCGCACGTCTTGGGTAATACTTTCTGTCGTTGAACCCACACGACCAACCTGCAAGAAGTAATGACGGTGCAAAAATTCCCGTGCAAGCTGTTGGATTTCAGTTGGAAAAGTAGCCGAGTACAACAACGTCTGCCGTTGACCAGGGGGTGGCATGTCGCTACCCTGGCCTTGCACAATCATGCGAATCTGCGGCTCAAAGCCCATGTCAAGCATGCGATCAGCCTCGTCCAGAACCATAAAGCGAATAGCAGAGAAGGTCACATAGCCACGTGTAAACACGTCCCAAAGACGGCCAGGTGTGGCAACCAGCAAACCGCAACCTCGTGAAAGCTCATGGACCTGATGGCGCGGATCGGCGCCCCCGTACACAACAACACATCGAATACCGGTTCGATAGGTAAACTTGCGTCCTTCCTCGTGAATCTGAATGGAGAGTTCACGTGTGGGAGCCATGACCAACGCGGCTGGGGAAGACCGACTTCCATGCCCCTGCGGGCTTTGCGACGTGTTATTCAGAATAGAACTCACCAGAGGGATCAAGTAGGCCGCTGTCTTTCCAGAGCCGGTTTGGGCGCAGGCCATGAGGTCATGGCCACTTAACACAACAGGAATACCGTACTTTTGAACAGGTGTTGGCTTTTGGTATCGACAACGTGCCACATTTTCTTTGAGTGCAGGTGCCGTGTTCATGGCAGCAAATGTCTCCATTGGTGGAATGTCATCGGGCGAGAGGTGTACTTTAATAGCCTCGTACTGATCAAAGTTAATGCCAGGGGTGTGCTCCTTGAATATTTCCTCTTCCGGCTTCTCCTCACGGTGATATGCGTGAGAACCACCTTCGCCGTGATACTGCATTGGCCGATGGTACCCGCCATCATGCCCAAAGACACCTCCGCGACTGTATATACCACCACCAGCACCCCGGCCACGGCCTCCGCGGGCGTAACGTCCATCAAAGCCTCCAGGTGCCCGTTGCTGGTAACTGTTGTACCCACCCTGAGGATTGCCATCCTCAAAGACGCCAGGGTGTCCTCCCCACTGCTCCTGGTGGGGAGCAAATTGCGGCGGACCACCTTTTTGGCCGTAGGACGCGTTGAAATGCATAGTCGCAGCTCACAACGAACCCCAAAGGTAAAAAAAAAATAAGTGAGTAATTAAACCTCTACAACGGTGTCGTCACCCAGACAAAGAAAAAAAAAAAGACAATAAAAAAGCGTATTGCAAAAAGATGTGAAAATGAAAAGGTGACAAGAGCAAACCCACAGACGCAACCAGCAGTGCCCTCCCAAATCCCACAATGTTACAGAGACAGCAAGTAAGCATACAAAAAAGACACGTTTCGACAAAAAAAAAAAGGAAAAAAAAGAAAAGACTTTTTATTCCTTAGGATAAATGCGACTGCACCCCCAGGCCTGTGGCAACGACACGGCTCGCCCCACTTCTGGGCCCACTTTGTCGCGCTGCTGGTGCGCGGACATACGCCCAAAAAACGCCTTCAATCGCTGCTGCATGCCATCTCGACGCCAAGGCAAAGTGGACTGCGAAAATGACGCCTGAGCCGCCGCAGCCGCCATCGCCACTCGCGGTGACGGGGAGGGCAACAAAACACCTTCACTGCTGGTGGAAAAGAAATCCTCATGAAGAATGAGTGAGTGAAGATGCAACGATGAAGGCACAAGAACCCCAAAGTAGTTTTGACCTCTTGGAGGGCTCCGTGAGCAGGCAGATTGGGCGAGCCTCATCCAGGTGGAGAACTCGTGCAACACCACTATTTCCCGCTGAAGACGTTCCTGGTGCTGTAGAGCAACACGAGCCACACCTTGCCGCTCCAGGTGCTGCAGGGCATCAAACTCTTTCCCCCACGCCTGCAGGATAGTGCGTCGTCGGCAATTTTCCTCCTCAGCAATTGCGGCAACGCAGAGGCAGTGGTAGGTTGCACAGACGTCTGCAAGTGAAATGGCGACAAGCGGCTGGTCGACATGCAGACACAGGAATGCAGTACATGATAGCAACGTTAAAACGCTCCGCGGTAGTCTGCTTCCCCAGCATAGCCCATCATAGCCTTCACCCACCTCCTCTTTTGCGGCCCCCTTAAGTTCATCGCAGCAAACTGCAGGGATGCCACTCAATCCTGTGCTGGAGCCACACTCACTTTGCAACGCCACCATGAGCAGCTTTACATGGTGCTCCATCCTCCAACGCTCAATAAATTCTACCCAGCTGCTTTCACTGAGCTTGTCAACGATATGGCGGAGTTCCCTGACGGCATCGATGAACAAAAGCGAAACCAATGTGTCCCACTCATGCCCTGGAGACTCCTCCTGACAAGGGTGTTGGATACATTCTTGATCACAACGCAAAGAAGCAAATGGTCGAAGCACCAGCCATCGAAGAGTGGAATAACGTCGCGTAAAGTACCGCATACGAACTGCCACAACATCCGCAAACGTCACTTCATCACGCCACAGCGATTCTAAACCAATGAAGCGGATCAGCGCCCGTGACACGCGCAGTGTATCCAACAGGTCATCCGGCAGTGTCTCAGCGAAATTGTCATTCAGTATAAAAAATGCAACTTTCATCCCGTGGCGAGGAACCACGCCACAGGACACGATGCTCGAGGGAAGGCTCCCAGCAAGGCATATGTTCTCCCCCCTTCCACACCGCCAAAAAAGTATCACGCTGGGGAGGAACAATCTTGCCTTGGGCGCGTTCCAGTGAGATACAAAATAACAAAAACAAACGATAATGAAGATGCGGGCAAGCAAGTGCGCGCCGCATCACCGGGTGTGCAAGAAGTCTCTCCGCCTGCCGTTCCTCCTGCGTCTGATAAAACATCATACACAACTTTTTCCCATGCGTCTTAAGACTCAAAATGACGGATGACAACGGGGAGTCCCCATTCCTGCGCAACTCTGCATTTTCCTCCGTTGCTTCAGCATCGACCATATTCCTAATCGAGGTGGAGTTGGGCTGCAAAAGCTCCTTTTGCTCCAATGCCAATAAAGCTTCCGCGGCGTTCGCCAATCCATTCCCTCCCAGCGGGTCACACCATTCATCTACAAATGTCTCGACAGGGGAGTGCATTAACTCATCCACGTTAGATATCAAGGCAGATTGGGCATGAAACGGCAAAGGCCTCGTCGTCGTACTTCTCCCTTCCCTCCTCCCAAGCTCTGGTGCGCATGGCTCCGTCGCGTGCAATCCGTGCAAGTACCGCGTTTCCAAAGGGGAGCCTGCCTCCAACGGATCGGCAGGATCAAATGGGAAAAGCATGCGCGACGCAAAAGATAATGGTGACGGTGTCAAAAACAATTTATGTGGTGAAGGATTGGCGTTGTGGTTATCCTCATTGCTTTTCTCCCGGTCAACTTTGTGTAGAAGGTCCCGCATCATCGCTTCTTCCCATTCTCCCTCGGCAACACCGTCAATGCAGTCAGCATCACAATTTGAACTCATCATGTAGGCCTCTCGGGACTGTGTCATAAGCTCCTCCATGTGCAAGCCTTCCTTCGGTGCAAAGCGCATAAATAACTGCTGTCGCCTCAGCTGTCGAACAATGTCATCCTGCGCATCACCAGAGCACAAACAGCTCGATAAGGTTGAGTCGCCAACCTTCCGCATCTTATTTTGTTTCTCGCCATGCGGCATGGGCATCGAACTGCTCTGAGCGTCGCTCCCTTTCCTGTCGTTGAGTCGACGTTGAACGACCACCATGGGATCAAGAAGGTTAAACGGAGAGGAGACTGCAGAGCCATTTGAGGTTGGGCACAATGAGTCATCCATAGAAGAATCATCACCTACAGGAAAGCTGCGGTGGAAGGAAGCACAGCAGCACTGCGTTGCCGTGTCAGGTCGCTGAGAAACAAGCTTGTACTTCTCCGCCAACTCCACGAAAAGCTCATCCCAGTGCCCCCGGTACACAAAAAGTATGGTCTCAATGGAGTTGAGCTTCTGTGGGTTGTGTTCCTCATAGAAGCGAACCAGGTGCCTACGAACACCCGCCTCGTCTCTCGCCCGTGAATCGTCCAACCGGGATGACATCCCTCCTCTCGCACTGCCTCCACCCACCAATTCTCCCTCCTTCCTTTGGTCCACCTTTTACTTGAAGTGTTTAAGTTATATATATATATAAAACAACGAAAAGGAGTAAAAACAAAAAAAAAGTAGAATGGCATAATCGTCAAAATAAATAAAACAAAATGGAAATACCGGAGCACCACGAGCCTTCCTCGACGCTTCATCAGACAGAGATCAGCGTAAGAGTGACGTCATGCGAGCGTTTGCGCGCCGGCTCTTATTTTTTATTTTGTTTTCTTCTTTGTTGCTGTACATGCAAAAACAAAAAACAAAAACAGGATAAACAGCAATCCCTTCTTCTTTGATTTGCTGCGCTGTTTTGGGTGAACGCGGGCCACACCACGAGGGTTCCTGCCCCCCACCCCTCACAGCTCCATCCTTCTTTGGACTATTTTCAGCGCCGCTTGATTTTCCTCCCACTCCTTGTGAGCATCAAGTCCTCCCGCAGTCGCTCCACCTCCGTCCTGTACGGCTCCCACAGCTCCAGGAGTTCGTATTGCAAAGAGGAGAAGACAGTCGGTTCAAGCGCACGCAGCCGTAGGTAGTGCTCTTCCACCACTTGATAACTGACAGCAGGGACCGGCACTATCGGCTTCTCCGCCTCCTTCCGTTCTGCAGCCTTCGACTTCTTCAAGTCAACGGCGACATGGGCTGCAGACTTTTCCCGCTGCTCGTACGCCACCCTGAACATATCCTCTGCGATGGCAATCCGCGACACTACATTATGGGCAATCGCCACATACATCTTGGTAAGCAGATCCACGCCCGTCAACGATATCGATGACGCAGATGTTCCCTTCTTGAGTTGCTGGCTCTCCTGTGGTAAATCCTCATGCGGCTGCCAACCCCGGGCGACGGCACGCGCAAAAAAATGTGCGGCACATGCATATTTCTTTTCAGTAAATGCCCCGTTGGCTAGAATTAGCATTGCCTCTGTAATAGACTCGGGTGGGGCAGCTAGTTTCTGTGGATGCATCAACGCCGTCGCTACAAAACTGTTGTAGTCGCTTAAAGCGGCCACAACGTCCTCCTTCGCAGTCCGCGGACGCTCGCAACTGCGCTGCTCAAATGCCTTGGCCCGTTGCAAGTATGCCATTGCTGTGCAGTTGTCATCGCCTGGCAAGCTCAACAAGAGAGAGAGGTCAACAATCGCCTTGTCAAAGTTCTGCAGCTTGGACGCGTACACGGCGGCACGACGAAGCAAGGTCGTACAACGCACTGGCACCGGCTGACGCTGGTCTAGTGCTTTGGAAAGCTCCGCCACCTCGGCAGCGGCGTCATTCGCCATGGCACATACGTCTGCGGCGCGCAAGTAGTAATGTGCGCAATCGCTACGCAAACGCTGCAGATGTTGTAAATTTTCCCAGGTCAGGGATGTATCCCCCACAGCAATGGCACTCTCTGCGGCATCTTCAAGGGCTGCTACGTAGGCCGAGTTTGCAACCGCCAAGTCGTAGAATGCCCTTGCTTCCTGTGCCAATACGTCTGCAGCATTACTCGCGGAATCCACTGATGGGGTAGCCGCTGCCTGTTCTGACTGCTTTTCCCGCACAAGTCCCAGACAGTAGTACGCGTGTGCTTCGTAAAAACTAGGAGAATCAAACAGTGTACAAGTATGGCTCGTGAGTTGTGCAGGAGAACTTGTGGCCAACTTTGTCATTCGTAACAGTTCGTACAGGTAACGCTCTGCAGCTTCGTATTGCCCGGCCTTTAGTGCGCATTGACCTGTGTGTGCCATCACATCCATAGTGGGATGGCTAAGAGAAAGATACTTCTTATACTCTTCATACGCCTCGGCGTAATTCCCCAGGTACTCATGACAGGCACCTCGCAATGCATACGTGACAGGCGTCAGGGGATCGGTACGGCTGCTGAGGTTGAAGAGAGCAAGTGCCTCCGCGTACGCGCTCTTCTTCATCGACAGCTTGCCGAAACGGCGCAGGACCTCAGCTGTCCTCAGGCAGTCCTGCTCCAGCTTTGCGTCAACGTGGGTAGAGACGCCGTGTACTTCCCCCAGCGCAATGATTCCAGTGTGTTGCAGCTTCTCAAGCGCCCCTTGCAGGTACTTCTCAGCGTCAGCTAACTGCCCCGCCGACTCAGCTGCCTCAGCGTGATCCATGCACCATTGCACGGGATCTGACGTCTTTGGCGGAGCCGACAGCATCGACCTCTGTGAGCCCTCACGTCGCACGTCAAAGGGCGTAGACTTCCTACACCCACCCCGCTCCAGAAACGCGCGGGATGTCGCTTCTGCCATTGGCTCGCCCCCGGACGCCAAGACTGAATGCCGGTACTCTTCAATAAGGCGGCGACTTTTTGAACTGGGGCGTCGCTGCCCCAGCGGCATGATCGCTGGTTCCCTGGGTATTGTCTCTGTCCGGAAAGAATTTGATTTCATTTTGTTTTATTTTTCTTCTTTCCTCCTTTTGTGCCTATGCCGTGGACGACTCAATGTGAACGCGCCCTCACTGCAGTTCGCATCGTCGGCAAACATAAAGAAGTAACCATACAACAAGATGTATATTGGGAATGAGAAGAACATTTCAAATTGTACGTATCACAAAGACAACAACAGAAGAAGATAAGAAACAAACAAACAAACAGAAAAATATTCATGGGAAAGAAAAGTAAATGGTATCATACATAACAACAAGATGGAGACATGTCAAGGCACATCTATTCAACATTCAAGCCCCACCCCCTCTCCGCCGCCTCGGCATCGGTTGCTTCCACGCAAAATTTTTCACCATCGTCGTCAAAGGAAACGGCGGCACCAAGTGGTGGGACAATAACAGGCTCCGTCCACTTGCGACCCAAGGTGGCAAACTCCCGTAGACGATTATCATACAACTTTTGTCTCTGCAGTTCCAGCACCTCATCATCACGTAGGAGTCCTAGCCGTGGGATAAAACGACTATGCGCAATAGTTGTCTTCTCAGACAGATCGAACATCGTGCCACACTTACATATTCCTTTGGACCAATCACCACGGAGGCACTGTTGCCGCTGTACATAACACCAAAGCCCAGGGCCCTCACGCAGCCCTAGGGCCCAGTAGCCATCGTACCAGTCGCCATTTGTCAAAAGCAGGAGTGCACGTCCATCACAAAGACTGTTTTGGAACTCCCCCTTTAGGAGGTCTCCATTAGCCATAAAGAGTCGGCCAAAACCGTTGCGTTTATCATCAGACCACTCACCCTCGTAGATATCACCGTTCTCTTCCCATGAGGTACCAAAACCGTCGCGCTTTCCACCTAGCCATTCACCCTTATATACACGTACCCACGGAGATTTTACGTCTGCACGAATCCACAATGTCCCTACACCCTCACGCAGCCCATTCCGAAACTCCCCACGATATTTACTGTGTTTCTGTATCAATTCCCCGAATCCACCAAACTTGCCATCCTCCCATTGTCCCTCGTAGGACGCAGTCTTTCCAGGATTGAGGAAAATGCAAGGACGGTGGCCATGCGTTTCCACCTTGCCAGCCACCGGCACAGCCCGAAACTTGCAGCGTTTAATCACTTCCTCCTCTTGATGCTGTTCAAACATTGTCCTTCCACCTCTTCTAGAGCTTGTACCATACAATTTTTGGTGAATGTGCAGCAACTTCTCCTCCTCTTCTGTCAAGGGTCGTCCAGCACCGTCCGAGTTATAAATCTCCAATACAACATCCTCCCCAAGGAGAGCCTCCTGCCGAAGCAGCTGCCGAAGCAACACCCCTCTCTCAGAGATTACAACGATGGGTCGCAAAACACATATCAACTGGCGAAAGAGTTGCAAACTTTCAAGGGTTTCAATAGACTCGTGGTACTGCAAGGGACTTGTAAAACCAATCACAAAGGAGGCTTCAAATCCAGTGATAAACTGAGACATAATACGGGAAAATTTGCACTCCATAAAGAAGGACTGGCTACGACGAATAAGTTCACGATGCTTTTCTGGCGTGGTAGACAAAGCCCAGCGTTTCCTACGGTACTCAAGCGAGTGAATCACTGCCGCACAAAGAAGTGTGACACCGACATTAATGCAGCTACCCTCCCTAAGGGGCTCACCACGCATGCCCTTCGCTCCCACTCGGTCTGTCCCTTTCATATGCACAAAAGTCATGCTTCGAATAACGTTTTTCGACCCTTCTGCCTTGTCGGTAGTCACAATGATAAGTTGCAGAAAACAATGCCAGCGAAACATCCGTTGGGCCAAACGGCCCAACATGATTTGGTTTCCACGGTTTAGCTGCGTCAAAAATTCTTCCACTGTCGGCACCTTCAACGTTGTCAAGTTTAATATATTGAGACGATCCAAATCGTCGCGCGACACCGCATACTGAATGGCTTTTTCCCCCTCATCTTCCCCTCGGAGGTTGTCTTCCACTGAATCGCGGTTCATTTCCCAGTACCGCAGCAGAATATTCGTCTCGAACTCATTCGACCGGGCCTCCAGGCGGTGGTAAAGATCCTTTACTGTGCGAAGAAGAAACCCTTCACCGTCCCTATTACCGTAGAGCGTGTAGGTCTTGCCTGTATCTGTAGAGCCAAAGAACACAGCATTGCAGCTTAAGCCCTGAATTGCAAGATCAACCATCTGTGACCCGATGGTGCAATGAATGTCCTCCTCGCTCGCAGCCCCAGAGAAGTAGTAGTCACAATTGTACATTAGACCCTCAGTGTGGCCTGGCGCATAGGCAATGAGGTTGCTCTCATTCATCCGAAGGTGCAGCCGCACGTTTGCAGCATCGGCTTCCATAATGGGCCGCTCACGCACCGCAACACGTAGCCGCTCAAAAGATGAAATGTCGTCCATTGCGATTTCTTAGCCTCCGTCCCTTGGGGTTCCCTCCTTCTTCGTCTGTTTCCTTCCCCACACCCACCCAACACAGAAAATCCCCCTTTTGATTTCACTTCGCTTGCTTCAAAGCAAAACAGGGATCGGTGTCTTCTCCCTTTTCCACATAAAGACAATTGAAACAAAGCCACAACAAGTTGAAATTTCTACAGTAGCATTCCCCCAAGGTGAATACAATATATATATATATATATATACTTACAAACCATTGACGCCTCTCGATGCGGCGTACCAGAAGAGTGCAGGTCTACTTGACGGAAACATCAAGAAGCCAAAGAAAATAAAAAGAGAATCAAAACCAATAAACGAGTTACAGAATCCATCGGAGCAAAACTCTACTTCTTCGGCTGGCTCTTCGGTACAGGGACGCGCTCCTGGGGTTGGGTCATGAAGAGCTGCACATGGCACGGACTGCACATGTACGGCGTGATACGACCGTGGGCACGGTACGTGCGGCGGCGCATACGGGCGGCCTCATCCACCTGCACGTGCTTAATGACCATCTTGTTGGGGTCAAGACCTTTCTCGATGGCGTTTGCCTCAGCATTCTTCAGCAGTGAGAGCATCGCGACAACCGACTTGCGTGGCCAACGTCCCTTTGTCTGTCCCCACTCCTTTGCCTGAGCGGTACGACCAATCTTGCCATTGTAACGCTTGAAGGGAATGCAACGGGTCTTGGCAAGAACCTGGCGGTAGAGCTGCTGGGCCTTGCGAAGGGGCATGCCGTTGACCACATTAGCCGTCTCAAACGTGTTCTTGAAGTGGCAACGCAGATCACTCACCTTCGCCTTGGCGCTCTTCGAGCTCACCTGAGGCTTCCTTGAGTAGTGCACCATCGCCCGAGGATTTCTGCCGATAAAAAAAAAAAGGCAAGAATACGAAGGGAGCACAAGCATAAGTACGCAATGAGAACCCAACAAACAGGGACACTAAAAATGGAAAAAAAAACTCCTCCAACGGCTTTACACTCAACGATGCATACCAGAGACATCAATTTACAATTGCCCAAGGCAACGAAGCGTATACACACCGCAACTACACCCAGGGAAGCAATCGCAATCCATCAAGGTATTCAGCTCATCAGCTGATCCAAGGCGAGCAATAGCACACTTCAGAGCCTGAATCCCACATTATTTATCCGCCCCATCTGTCCAAAGTTGTTCTCGTTTGGGGCGGCCTTTTTCCCGTTTTTTTTTTCGTGTTGTTGTTTCTTCGGCGTTGGTTTTCGTTTTGCTTGTTTGTTTCCTCTCTTTGAGGGAAGGCTCCATTATTCAGCCTTTCATAAAGGATTTTATGCAAGGAATGATCCTCGCCGCAAAGGGCTGCAGGCGTGGAACGAGCACAGGCGCCATCATGAGAGTTGCGGCAACCTCCAGTGGCACCAAGAGTTTATTCAACACAACCGAGGCACCCAGAGTGGCCCAAAAGGACGGACTCTTCCTCTTGTCCACAGCAGCATTGCCGCCGTCGTCGGATTCCGTCTTATCGCTGCCAACACGAAACCCGTACGATCGTGCGACACCCACCAGGTCAACGTGCAGAAAGTAAAGAGAAAAAAAAATACATGCAAGAAGAATGTTGTGTACAATGAGATATAACAACAACCCACCACCTCCATACGCCGCTAGCTTTTGCTTCGTCGTAAGTGAACCGCCCTCGCCAGGCGGAACGGGGGACCCGCCCTCTCCCCCTGGCCCTTCAGGGGCACCCTTGTCCGATCCCCCACTGCCCTCCGCCGCCGTCTGCCGATACACTCGAGTTTCACCGTCAACGTGGTGGCCCTGGCGACGACAAAACAAGGCAAACCGCGTCATAAAGCCAGAGGGCAGCTCAAAAGTTGTTGTATTCGTTAGTAGATTGTGGTAATAAGGCCTGCAGTGGTCAAAGGAGTAATATTCGCGCCAAAGCACACACGGATCACTGTGGTCGGGCAGCTCAACACCAACTTGTGTCGCCGGAAACTCCCGGCACGGGTTGATAACACGCAACGCAAGATCCACCTCAGGCAAAACCGTAGCACTGCTCACTTCGCCTCGCTTAACAAGGATCTTTCCCGCACCACACTTCACCTTGGCAAAGGAGCCAATGCGTCGAAGTGAGATGCATCTAAAAGGAAAATGAACAACTCGCCACATATGGGTAGCCACGACAATTATCCTTCTTTTTCTTTTTTGAAATTAGGGAATAATACAATACAAAACCAAAAAAAAAAAAGACAACACCCAAAGTGTATCCTTCGCGCCAACAACAGCAAATATATATATATATATATAAACTCCCATCATACGGAGTTCGTCACTCCCACTCCTAAATAATAATAAAAAAAGCACAAAAAAAAAGATTGAAAAATAAAAAGAGAACACATGCAGCTAGTACTAGTGCCGTCTCAGCCTCACGCGGCGATCATCTTGCCTCCCATGGTGAGGAAGTCCGAGTGCTCATCCGTGGGATCACGCGAGACCTCCGTCTCGGCCCAAAGGTCGGGTGTCAAGAAGCCGTACGTCTTGCGCAGCGCGTAAAATGTCGCCATGATAAAGTTGCCTCGCGTGCGGGTCTTGCCGCAGGAGGACGTGTACACGTCCTCCACGCCAGCAAACTCAAGAATCTTCTTCGGGACGGGGGCAGCGACGATGCCGGTGCCACGCGGCGCAGGGACCAGGCGGACGGCAACGGAGCCGCACTTGCCAGTCACCTTCATCGGGATTGTGTGTGGCTCACCAATCTTGTTGCCCCAGTAGCCGCGGCGCACGGGAACAATGTTCAGCTTGGCCGCAATCATAGAGGCGCGAATGGCCAGCGACACCTCCTTGCCGACGCGGGCGCCGACACCAATGTGGCCATTGCCGTCGCCAACAATG